GACAGGCTTCCCGAAGGCTTTCACCAGTCTGCTGTGTCATTTTGCCTCTCCGATTCGAGCGAAGAATAAGATCATTAGTTGAAGTTTTTGTATTTTCAATGTATTTTTGGTGTGTTGAAATTTCTCCAGCGGTTTGGTAAGTTTAGTGGTGTAGGGTTGCTAGCCCTACACCCAGCCCTCCCTCTTTACCCGGGATTCGGACCAGCTAGAAAACTAGAAAACTAGTAAACCTGGCGAGGTGATAGTTTGTGTGAATGTAAACAATGCATCCAATGGCTCTATCAGAGACATGATCCCTCTCTTATTCAAGTTATTTAAAAGAGATTTTGACATACTTTAAAAGATAATAAACCAATGAATGGAAAATTTTTCTACATACTTATTTGATTCGTTTGAATCAGAAAGTGAAAATTGTATAATACTTGGAATGACACCTGCTTCAATATCTGTTTCCAATGAAGACTAATGTAACTGAACGCTCCTGTTATGGAAAGTGCTGCATTTAAAGGCGATGTGCAGACACTACCTTTGGAATAAAATGGAGGTGATATGTTATTGTCACCGTAAATCCTGCAATCTCCGCCTATGAGACTGTATATGTAATCCGTTTATACAGAAATTAATTGACACAAGAATCAAATCTCTATAAGATCAATTGCATGCATTATTTACTTTCACACGAAATATAGTGGAGATTATGATTTCATTCGACAAATAACTGTTATGCTATTTTCACTTTGAAAGGCAAACAAACGATAAATTTATATGATTCAAACCACTTCATCAAAATGAGTGTTCACATTGATATTGGTTGGGCTCAGCATAACGTGGAATCGTACTATTTTCTTTGATCTTTCATGTATTCACAATAACCTTGGAAGTCGGTTCGCAATCATTAGCTGTATCATTCCCTCACTCCCTCTCTCCATCCATTCATCCATCCATCCATCCACACAAATTAATGTCAGCTCAATGTCACCCAACTCTTTTAGTTCAGACATTATTCTTAACTTGGCCACCTAGGTTTGAATGATCCTCAATATTTGTGGAATTCTCCTTATTTCAGTTGGTATTCTATTTGCTACTATATCTTTAATATTATTAAAATTTAAGCATCTTTAATGAACTGTAATTCTAGTGATCTTAATTTACAAACCGACATTATTTAAAAGACACTATTATTGCTGTTGACTACTAATCTAGAATATTCTATGTGTACAAGCATGTATATAATTGTAGAGCCAGAAAAGAACTTTGTCGAAGAGTATATACTTTGCTCAATTATTTTGTGGTTTATAGATGCCTGAATGAATATTTTTGCTATATTAAAGGTATGGGTTGATGATTCTACAGTTCGGACGACTTATGGTGGGAAATAGATTCCACGCTAACTAAGTATTCGGATATATGGTGTTTTGGAAATTCGTTGTCTTACTTATCCTTCCTAGTATTACGATGTTGTCTTCCACAGTGGATATTTATCTGGAGGTAGTTGCATAAACATTCCTCTCTGGAAGACATGGATTTACTTGTGGATGATGGACCTGACTGTTTGATAACTGACACGACATAATACTTTCGAAAATCCAGTGATCATGACGAGCGACTAAGCTGTCATTTTCTGAAGTGAGAAAGCTAAAAGTAAGAGTGCTGCGAGATGGGAGTGATAAGTGGTTTCTGGATGATCACAGCAATCCAGGGTTTATTATATAATCTCCGACTAGGTTTGCAGGCGATTAATTAGGCTTCCGAAATCAGTTCGCCTACAGTTGTGGAATAAATAGATGCAGGATACTCCGGAAAGTGCCTGTGTGAATCTATCTCATCAATGCAGGCTTCAGAACTCATGTCATTTCTATCCACAAATATTTCTGTGTTACAAGTAGATTCACAAGGTAATTGGTCAAAATTCCGGTCACGTTTCCCAGTAGAATATCCTCTTCGCTTACCGATCGATACTGCAGAAACTACATCTCCCAGAAGAGTTTCATTATGTTGTATGCTGAATACTAGTGATACCGTAAAATCGACCAACTAAGAAAGAAATGAATATCTCACTGCCATTCGATCTATTTCATCTATGTCTCTAAAGCAATCAGAATGATGATTTTCAACATATTGAAAGACTGAATGAGAAGTTTTCAAGAGTTGATTTGTAATGAATGTGTTTGTATTTCGAGTTTGAGCACGGATTGATATCAGTAAGAATGAGACGTTATGCACTATGAGGAAGTATGATGAATTTAAAACTGGCCAAGTGACTGGATTTATTCGTCGTAGATGACTGGGTCATTAAGTTAAACTGTGGGCGACTCAGGATTCTTACTAAGGCTGCATTACATATCTCTACAAACAGAGAGTGTCAATATGTGCCAGACTGCTGACTCATAACAGTTAGATATTGTTCGAAGGATTTCGCTCTGTTATTGGGACCTGTCACCTTGCCTTACTGCATTTATACAACCGGTTTGATTGTTTTGTGCACTTCTGTACTCTAACTATTTCACAGTTTAAACGAGAGAGAAGAAGGATATCTGTGTGAAGACAGAAATTCAGGTTTTCGTGCCTTCAATGTTGAATGTTATTCTAGAGGATGAGTAAATAGTGCTGATTATTTTATCAGTGCTGGTGGACTGCGTGTAGAAATATTCGCTCACAAGTCTTTTATTTCAGTGATAGTTTTCCGACATAATTCATGTTCACTTGTTTAGTTGATGAAGATTATCCAGAAGTCGAATCATTTAGAATTGACGTCGGAATCTGACTACTCTCGACATACCGGGACTCGTTGAAGCAGGCTAGAGCGCTTCGTCTTGTATTTACACTTAGATATGCAGTATTTGTCGAATTATCATCGAGTAAATAATTCTATTTTTTGTGTTATATATTCAAGAGACTTAAGGTATCGTAATGGTAGATGCATATGTATATATATATATGCATATATTAGTGCTTTTAAATTTTGAGCTTGCACCTCTTCCTACTACAATTTTATGTGATCGCCTTGATATGATTATGAGCAATAAATTGTACTCAACATGACATGAGTCAGTAATACTCCTTAACTGTATTTAATCAAATGATATTAGTCTCTGACGGATTTGTACTCCAGTATGGGGCATTACTTGTGTTCTTATTTTCAAATCACTTCTACCAAATTATCTATTCATCGAAAATTGAGTTAAAATTGAATTGCAAAATACACACTCGTGACAATTTTAATATTATTAAGGCGAACAACATGACTCATCTAGCAAAATTCTCCGACCGATATGGCTATTTTTAATTTTAATTTTTCCATGTGACTTACTTGTCGTAGATTCTACCTGATTACAGATCAAATTATTCACCTAACCCATACATCAGTTTTTCAGTGAACTTTGACCTACTTTCGACATACATTTGCATTCAGAGTATGAAAAATTCAGTTGTGATGCGAATTACTCACACCTAGATGATGACCGAAGTGGTCTCTTTTCGTAACAACTGCCCAAAACTGCACTGTTTTATTTGGTTTTCGATGTGCTATATTGCTAGCCGAAAGAGGTCAAAGGTAATTGTCGCTAAGTAAGGAAGATAAATCAATGTCTGAAAAATTGTGGATAACTCTGCGTAATTGAGAAAGTTGACAACTAATTAGCTAAGTGATGAAAGTTGACTTGGAAATAATTGATAGGAAAGAAGAACACGGAGAATTGAGAGAGCGCAGACATAAATCAAAAATAGAACACATACGGTTTTCAAGAAATAGTTTGTAGAGATTTGATTTGTTTCAATGGATTTTGACAATGGATTGATATCAGTTAGTGAACCATGTACATCCGGGGAGTACTGAAGAGCTGTTTCGTCCGCACTTGGGACTCATCACAGTGCGCATCCCACTGATATCAATCAGTGTGTGGTCAAACTTGAAACATACGCCTTATTATACAAGAAGTCAAGAAACTGAAATGGACACTGAGACCATAATGGTGAAAGAGGCTGAGCACAAATTTCAGCCTTTTTCCTATGCATTACAAGTGCTTTACGTGCATGAAGATGTAAGCGAAATGCCTTGCTCCGACTTGACCAAAGATTATATATGACTCTGAGTGACGTCTCTGATGATTGTGCATTACCAATAGTAGTATTATTGTCCAGAACTGAGTTATCCTTAGTTCATATAATACATCTTAGCTTTCGATTAATTTTGAACAAATTTTATTAAGAGCATCGGAATATATTGAACTGTCATAATTCACATACAGTTTCTATAGTATTGGTTACCTGAGAAGAATTATTTTATTTTCGTTGGTAACCTGAGAAATTTGTTAACTACATGTATGGTTTTATCGCAAAAGCTTTGATGGGGAAAATTGCTGGTTAGCGAAGTGATTCATTTTGACGAATATTCGGGAATGACAACAATTAAATCGGGTAGTCTTGCATAACAAGTCTTGCTTAAATACTTTCTCCGGGAATTCTTGAGGCGCACAATGTTGATACAAATGTTGGCACAGTTTATATAACCATTTTATATCAATCAGCTTCAGTCCAGAAGTCTAATCACTTAGTGTTGACGTCGGAATCTACTCTCGACCATCTTTTGAATTTTATTTTTCGATAACCAACCTATTGAAACGCATTCGCGTTTCCATTGACGATGAGGGATTGCATTCTCGCTCATAATGCAAGTGACTACTAATTTGATTACATGAAGTCGTCTATTAAATATCCTATTCTCCTGTCTGTAAATGAGCTTTATATTTTTTTCATCTCTGGATGTGGAACCCTCACTCCTCAAAAGTTTACGCTTGCTTAGATTGCAATCTGAATGGCTATGCTTGTATGGATAGGTGGATTTTCTTTAGTGTCCTATTGTTTATGTGATAATTGTTAATATGAGATAGTTATCCAAAATGCATAAAATTTGAAAGGATTGAAAAATAGGGTATTCAATTTCTCGTGGCTTTCCTACACTTCTTTCTATGTTAATAATCTTCGTTTATTATATTCCCCAGGTACTTCAACAAAGCTGATTTCCATGTAGCTTACTCTTGTGAAGATAAAGAAAATAATTCTAATAGCATATTGTCTACCGCCAATCCAATACACCTCACGGAATCCAGTGAAAATCTTAGTACTTGCAAATTTTCAAGAAGCCTACCCAGTCTTTTTACTGGGATTCCTAGTGAAAAACCAATTGACACTGAAAGTGATCCTGACCAAATGCTGTCTTCTTTTTCAAAATTCAGGCCAAATACGTTATTGGATGATACGACATTGCATCGAGAGTATTTTTCTGATGTCGAAAATGAGTATGCTGCATTATACATATCGCTGCCTGAGGTAAAACGAGGAAGTTTAAAGAAGGTGAGAAGCGATTGGGATTTCAACAGCACCGTCTCCGAATACATGCCATGTGGTCATTGTAAGAAAGGGTTGATCGATATAGTAGACTCACCAGAAACAAACCCTCCAGTTGACAACTGCCTTCTCTCGAGAAGCTTGTTACGGCCTGGTTATTTTGAAGATACTGAAGCCAAATACTCAACTTCAAGCGAATTCCAATCCACACCGATTTATGGCACGACTACAACAAGTACAAGCAACAATTTCAATTTTTCTACGGCTCCAATAAACTCTCTATCTCATGAAACTCCAGTGATCGTTGAGGGCCTATTGGGGGTCAGTCAAAGGGACTTATTTCCCACGCGGAATCATGAACTTACAACCTTTAGAAGAAGTCCCCGAAAATCCGATAGGATGACTAAGGTTCAAGGACTTAAATGGCCAAAACTATGTACTTTACAGAATCTTGCTCAGCACGAAAATAAGGAATTACTTAGTCATAACAATGATCAACAGAAAGTGGTGACAAAGATTTATATTCCTCTTTCTAACCTCAATGTGAATATTGGGCCCCTAAGTCAACTAAAACTACCTTATCCAACTGCTTCTATCAGCGCTAATGTGGGTTCACTACATGATATGGCTGCCCAGTCTTGTACACCAAGTTTCGGCATACAGAGAAAAGGAGACTATAATTCAAGTCTTCATCAAAATCATTATATGAATAGAAGAAATTTATTAACGATACAGGAATCAAGTGGTAAGTTCCTCGGAAGACAATTTGTCCTGATCAAATTAGTGTCGAAGTTCCTGTGTTGTAGTAGGCCTTTCTGACACACACACACACACACACTAGACAATCTACTTCTCACTGAAGAGCCTGATAGTTGAATTTGCAAATCAGTTCTGGAAACAGTTTTTGTGTAGGACAACTTGTTGATTGAACTGACTGCTTGATCAGTCAGTCACCTAGATGTCCGAGAAGGTATCTTGAAATAAGTTTCGGTGCTTCTAAATTCTTCACTATATCAACACCGAAGGAATAAAATAAGCAGTATTATGATGAAAAAGAAATTAAATAATATGATACTGTGTGAGGATCTTAGATAATTTAATTCAGCTTATGAGCGTCAAATGACATTCATGTGCTCTCAGGTAAATTGTTGAGCAGTTTCTGCATGATAAGCACAGGGAAGACGACGAGAAACAGTGTTCATCATGTAGTAAAACCATAAGTGACTATTGCATGACGAATCGCTCGCAGCCACATAAGTCAACTGATTTCACAACACTTTTGTTAGAAATTCATATCAGCTAAGCGACCACATAAAACTATGATGCTCTGTAGAGCTTTCTAGTTCTAAGTTTGAAATGCTCACTAACTTATAGCTATGAACGGTAACCATGGGATATATGATTCTACCGCAGTTAACGAGTGGTGAAATACTAGGTAGAAGACTTCACTCACGGGGGCTGGATTTCCAAATAACATTCGAGTCTCTAACATGAAGAGTAACAGTGTCCAGTCCTACCGGATTTCCAATATTTATTGAGTCGGCACTGTTTTATAACACAAACTCCACGTATTTTGGCCTTTAGGGATGACGATTAACACGGATAAATTGAAACTAAGCTTGGTTTTAGTAGGCTGCATTTCTTACCAATTATGATTTCTATACGAGATGCACTTTGTTTATTCTGTGGAGAGACAACTGTTTCAATGTACTACAACTTTGTCTATGCTTCTGGTCCATGTTGAAATTAACGAGATATTCTGTAATCTAGTAACACTGTGACTGCACATATTTGAATCGATTGAGGTATACTACTTTGCAAATTGTAAGTAGGCCAACAGTTTTACACAATTATGAATGTGCACTGAACGATAGTGGGAAAGATGCTTTATCATTTGTGTTTTAAGCTATCAGAAGTGAATGCACAGTTTTAACCCTAACATATCAATCTTAATGTCTACCTTGCATTCTTTATATTAGCTGTTACGCAGGTTGTGGACGCAGCGGAAGTTAGCAACACCAGTATCAGTATGGTAAGTGTAAAGTTTTGAGATGATTATGTGCTTAGGAATGTTTCAGATTAACCTGTAATCTTTTTAAAATGGAAAACTGCATTTCCTCAATCGGTCGACTTAAGATTTTAGACTTTCGAAATGATGAAGTTTGGTTTTGGAAACTCTCTCATCCTCAATTTATTATTATATCAATGAGTTTTAAATGACTCAGGTGCTTAATATTACTCAGTCGTAAGAAAAGACGTAAACAGCGAAGAGAATTTTCTCTACGACGATTTTTTTAGTTGCCTTCCCTTCATGTGTACAAAGCAATAAGGCATCCGTTAGCAAACTACTTCACTTCAGTACACGTCTGACATATGATGATGAACTTATTAGCAATAGATTCATGTTTACGAATCGGCTTAATGATTTGACTAGGTAATAGATCGACTGTCTGGATGGCTACTTGGCTGGCATATAGTCCTAGAAATATACATCGTATATAAAATCGTTTAATGTTACGCCTGATTATGCACTTTAAAAAGAGAAATGGAGAGGAAAAACCTAGATCTGTGAAAAAAGATAGTCTGACCAATGGAACAGACTGTTTACTGATTGGATAAGTCATGGTTGCAAAGGGAATTTGTTAAGGAAATAATGTGAATGGCCACACCGAGTCACACAAACACACACATATAAATACACTTTTGTCTTTGCACACATTTTCTGTCTCACTTGAAAGAACAGTAATCAAGGGAGTGTCACATTAATTAATTAGTTATCTCTGAAGTGGAATTTATTACGTAATTATCCGTATCCCATTGAGGCATTTTGAGCTGTTCAAGTAAAAATAATCTGTACAATGGAAAGATTTTATCCAAATTTCTATTCTTATACGAAATCTCACTACGAACCATTGCTTTCGAGTCTATTAACAAGATCTGAACCAGAGCGTAGTGCTAAACTGCACATTGACTGTAAGGATAATGATTCCAGTGAGGAGAAACAAAATAGCTCGTGTAGTGAAAGACAAAATACGAACATGAATGAAGTCACTGAGCAACAGAATTCTTCGGCATCATCCGAAATGCTTCGGCAACGAATTCAAAGTGTGGATAGAACAAAAATGTCACGTAATCAACTAGCGAAATGGACGACAACAGATTCGCAAAGATGGGCTCGCGAAAATTCAGACCCTCCAGGCCGTGAAAAGTCTACTGAAGAAGAAGATCTAACTGGTTCAGTCTTCACCGGATCTGTACAGTCATTTATATTGCCATTTACTAGAATTAATGAATACTTAACACCGGGAATTAACGCTAAATATCACAACCACTCTAGAACTTTCGAAAGTGGAATCAACTATCTGAGCTTAGTTTCCCGTAATGATGTTCGATGTAACATCATTCCAAACTGTCAGCATTTTCCTGATCTAATGTCAACATCTTTAACAAAGACAAATTCACCAATAAAGCATAAGTCAAGATCACTGCGTAAGCATTCACGTGAAAAAACACTACCATGTTCAAATCAAGACGATAAAACACTCATGACGTTAGATTCTAATAATGTGTTCATCAATCTAAATGAGTCCAAATTACAGATTGCGACAAATCAGAAGAGCGTACCCCGTTCTAGAAGATTACCGTCACCATGTGTTCGTATGAAAACACTAGAAACGGATACAAATTATAATGTATCTCTCGAAACAGGTCAGAACACAAGCTCCTCAAACTATGATCTTCGACCGAAGCGATTAATAGAAACAGAACGCATGGTTAGACAAGAATTAGCGTCTGCAAAACAGAAATCAGCAACTTTCAATAGTAACAATGGCATAGACAGAGAAGATCGGAAATCAGCGATGCAGAATTCACCAATACCTCTAAAAAAGTCGAGTTCTAGTGAGAGAAGACAAATAATTTCTCCAGATACAAATACACCTGTGAATGTTTTAGAAGAAATAAATTCATTTGAAATGAGTGATAGTGAGACCGACTTATCTAGAGGATTGGAAAGAACTCGAGTCCTAAGGAATGGTGATGATTTAATCAGAACTGATGGAGATTCGAAGGTAGTTCAATTGAGTTTCAAGCGTGCGTGCAGTTAATTTGTTCCGCTATCTGTCTTTTGCCTTGTCATAATGTACTCTGTAAGACTCGAATTTTACCAATTTGGTTACAGCGGAAATTAGCAGAGGTGGATTAAAGGTATGTCTAAAAATGTATTAGTGTAAACAGTTTTATAACGTGTAAGCACTGACAACGCACAATGCTCTTCATTGATAAGTCAGTTAAATATATATATGTGAATTTGTGAGGGTAGAATAAATCATGTATATTAGTCAGTGGAGAAACTATTGGAATTTTAAGCACCATTTAACTGGACTTCAAGCGGTACGTGAAATGCGCGCGTCACTGTTTCTTGTAGTAAGTAGTACTATGGAAAATTTTATGAACAATTCACGGACACCTGCATGACAAAATTTGCTGCAATAATTTGTTGATTTAAAAAGTCTCTGCTTACGCCAAAAGAAATTAATTCTCTGTCCTAGAATCTGCTTCTTATACCCTTTTTCTCCAATATTCAGACACTCAGTTTATCAACAAAATTATCAGTTAGATTGGTGAAATCTTACCAGCTCTGCGTATCGAAACACAGTGCTGGTTGCACTACTACGAAAACCTAGTACTGAATGGTCACTGAGTGCTCAATATTAAGTTTTCTCTTCTATACAGGACACTATGGTTCGAGATTTAAAAGATACCGTGGTAAATAAGGCGGATCGAATTGGGCAACTTAAAACGTCGGAAATTATGAAAGTTATTTTCATGAAAATATGTTTTTCAATGTTAGTGGAGGGCTAAAGGACGTCAGGACGGGAATGAAAGGTGTCGTAAAGACTGTAACAAAACCACTGTTAATACCCTCTATTTTTAGATCAAAAAACTTATTGCACTCTGAGATTGAAACAAATAGAAACCAGGTGTTAAAAATGATACCTTAATAAAACCGAATTCTGGGCATTTGGAAGTTTTGAATATTTCTAAATTTTTTTTCTCCAATAAGATTAGGTTAAAATTCAAACTATTATATAAAATTCAAATTTAGCCTGATAACCACAATGAACCCGTTTTTTGTGACCCTGATATATATTTGTAGGAGTGTCTTTTTGAGTTACTGCATCTTTCTTCCTGATATCAGGAATAATACATACCTGAACTCTCTGTGGAAAGTTTTACATAACAGTAGTGTAATTTGAAAGTAATAGCCTTTGCCTTGTTTGGTAGACTGCCAAGTGATGCTGTAGAACTGGTCTGTACTGACTACTGGTTTGACGGCAGTGAGTTAAATGATATAATGCTTTGATGAATTCACTAAACTTGGAAGTTATACTAGCCCTAATGCACTCATTGCTAACGAAACATCAAAATGAATATAAAGAGCTATTTATCATTTTCCAACTTAAGTTAGTTTTTGGTTTAGGATGAATTTCTGGCCACCATTCAAAAGGTGTATTTACCATGAAGTAGTCCATTGAGTCCAACTTTACGAGACTGTTGAAAAGAGAATTTCAAAAAGTGTTGGCAGCTTCTTATCACAGGTGTTTTGTTCATTTGTCTAGGTTAGATATAAAAACAAGATAAGAAGTGATCAGGTTAGTTGTAGAGCTTTTGGTAAGAATGGGGAGTCAGCTGATGACGTTTTAAGACTAGGAGATGGCGAGAAGTTGTGTTACATATGTCGAGCCATGATCTATGAAAAATTATGTTAGCTGAAATAAGATCAGGCTATTGACTAGTCTGAATTGATCAGAACAAAACGCGTCACTAGTCCATGAAGACTTTAACTTTTGGTTTGACCCGGGTGAAGGATTGTAGATTGTCCGGCTAGGGTTCGTGTAGTGCTAAGAATCATCGGTAGGAAGCTTTCTGTGAAACGGTCCTAAAATTGTTAAGGATTCTACGTATGCACTGGCTTTGTTAACTTCGACATCATAAAAGTCGACAACAAATATTCATTCAACTATTCTCTACCATTCGTTTCTGTCCACTATAGTTTTACTATCTCTCTTTTTTCTTGAATCTTATGCGAGCAAAGTTTTGTGTTGTTCAATTAGTCATTCTGCTCTTTTTTCATTTATTAATTAACTCACCCAGTCACTCATTAGATTGCCAAGCATCATATGCGCCTACTGAAATAAACACTCGATAAGTTGTTTAACTGATCGACCGTTAGATAAATAAATGAATAATACAAAAGAAATTAGGTAAATAGAAAATAAATCAGTGATACATTAAACTTTTCAGTACTCATATTCAGGTGACGTTTTCTCCGAGTCAAGAACAGAATCTTAAGGCGTTCTATTCTTAATGTCGTTATGGGAAATGTTTACCTTCCTTCAGTGTACCAGTCACAGTTGGTTTCATTACCGAATTAATTAAACTGAAAATTGGATGGAGGAGTTCATTATGAGCTGATATCAGTTGGAGAACCACTGTAAAACCTGGGAGTACTGGACATCTGTTTCGTTCTAGTTTGGGACTCTTGATCAGTACGCACCCACCGAAAAATCTCAGTATGGATCTCTGTTGTCTCTTACTATCAAGTTGTACCTGTAAAGCTTACACTCATCATAAGACCATGTATGACTTCTGGTATTGCGTTCAGATGCCTTATTATATCATATTCGTAAAATAAGTTCTCAGGAGTTTCAAAAAGGGTAGGTAACAATAAAGTTTGAACTGAATACTATATATACATATATATAAAAATATATATATGTATATATATATATAGTGATAAGGCACCATGATATGGAATGGCATGTGATAATACACTATAATTGAGGACGACAACGTCTAAAAGTTACCTCTTTGAAAGTTCAGTAGTATGAAACTAATAGGCAATGCATTTTTTTATTAATTCGTATTATTATTATTATTTTATTCCTTCTCGTTCCCAGTGGAAAATAGGGCTTCAAGCTAGAGGCTTGAAGTTTCGGTGGCAGTGTTTATTTTTACAGGATGGAGATGCTAGCCTCATGCAGAACCTTTCCTGTTTATCAGGTTTATTGCTGGCTTAGCAAGGTAAAGGAGTGTGTCGGCCGGGGATCGAACCCTGGAGCATGTCCATGGTCGGCAAGCGTCCTAACCGCTGTGTCACCAACGCACAAGGAAATGCAATATTCCATAGTTACATTAAATTCTGCCCTTAAATTTCTGACAGCTGCACATGTCCATAAGATGACAAATATATCAGAAATCTGGGTTTCGAAAACACAGTATTGAACCGTTGGAATTCAAATACTTCGACATTGACGTTATAAGACGTCTAAGCTGAAGCATAGATGACGTATCGAAGGAAGTGCGCCCAACTGAAACTTCAGGATTAGTTCTATCGTACTACGTTATGGCAGTATCTTGACAGTTATTATTTTAACAGAATATCTATCTTTATGACGAATATTCAAAACCTGTCTAGTTACCGTGTTTGTTGAATGCTCAGAATAATCCTTATTCTTCTAATATTTACATTAACCGTTCATTTGATTTGGTATTTGACGTTTATAACTTCTGCCTATTTGATTATGATTTCTTTGTCAGAACTCTGAGATACAAGAGCTTCAAGGCATTATAAATCATATACGTGAGGAAGATAGGGACAACAAGTCTTTAGCCAACTCTCCGAACAGTTTTAAACCAAGTCCAAGAAGATCGATGTCTTGTCGTACACTTCCTGATGCTATGTACCAAGGTGAGTTTGGATTCTGGGACCAACTTATTGTTCTTTATATTAATGGTATAAGAAACTTGATAAATATGTACAAAGAACATTTCAGAGAACTTTCAGACTCTTCACCTTCCGAAAAATGTCACAATGGGATTCATAAAGCTTCATTATAAATTTTAAGCTAATTATATTCCATTATTATTTAATTCGAAGCTATTAGACTTGGAAATGTAGTTCCGTTAAATGTATAAACATTTCAGAAGTGCACTCACTATTCAGGATGATTACGAGATTGAATTCACAGCCCACAGGCTGATAAATAACATGTCAGAGTATGTGACCATTGAGTTACGTGTATCAAAGCAACAATGAAATGTAGAAGTGAACTGTAAAACACCAACAGAGCATAAAATAAGACGAACCCCATGTGCAGGTCAAATCAGAAGTATAAAGGAGAAGTAATCGTAGTTAATTTCCTTCGGTGAAGCTTCACTTTTTACATCCCCCAATCCATCCATCCATCCATCTCACTTCATTTTATGCATTCAGTGCATTTGACAGGAACGTTTTCAAGCGGTTGAACTAGTCTCTGTTTACTTCAAACTTTTACAGAATAGTCAGAGAAGATTTTGGTTTAGATTCTTTGAATATTTATCGTTGCTGTGATAAGCGTATACGTCGCTGTTCTTAGAAAGTAGATGTTCAACCACAGTTAATATGCGTCTGTTGCTAAAAGCACCACAGTTCATCATGGAGACTTACACATGAAAGAGGAAAACACAGTACTTAGTTATTAAAACCTTGTATTCAACATCTTCTCTGAGTAGATCTTTCTGGAAAAGTAACCGACGTGAGTCACATGTTCTCACTATGGACCAACATGAACTGGATACATCTGCCCGATGTTTATTACTTACACAACCGATTTCCACCTATCATGAAGAAGCATTCCGAAATATTTTGAACCATGTGCAATAAAGAAGGCTTCAGTACTCACGAGAACACCATGGAATTAAGGGATTTAACGAGAGAGCCATGATGCATTTACAGTGCCAAACAGACTTTCACTTTGTCCATCACTTTACATTCAAATACAGATTACTGTCTAAGCATTGGAGAAATAAAAAGCTAATCACTCTTATATCAATGAGTAACAGGCAATCAGTTGATGAATGGATTATTCTAAAAAAGCATAATATCTTATATTTTAATAAAACCCGTTTAATCTCTCTTCGCCTCTTCATATTTAAAACTTTCCAGACAATCAAGATGCTGTAAGCTTGAGTAGCGTTGCAAGTGACACAAGTGCCGGCAGTCAAACTATCTCCGTAGACTCAAAGAAACATGACAACTACTCCCATTCTATTGGGAATAACACCTCAACGTTGGAAAAACATGGAGTCTATACTAAACATTCCAGATGGGTGAGTTCGAATTTCAGCTGTTTTTTATTCATACCTAGAGGCACAGATGACGATTTCCAGTTGTTTGGAAGTAAAGGACTCTCACCCACTTAAAATATAGGAAAAAGTGTTGGGAAAATAAGCGTGTGCGTGATTCATTTGAGTTTTAAGTGTGACTCAACAAGTGGTTCTTAACAGCCAGTTTCTGCCACCAGATGAAGGAAGGAGTCTAGTTGGCTGGAGCATTTGTCTGCAAGTTATCTATGAATTTCGGCTACACAGATGATTCAAAACATCTACAGGGAAATACAGTGTACCCTACATGACGTTTATTAACTGCAAGTGTCGCAGTCAATGGGCAAAAATTTAACTTGTCTAGAAGACGTACTCATCAGTTTGTTTTGCGTTTGAAGATAGTGTGTTTGACGTTCGAGAGTTGAAGACGTGAAAGAGATGTAGTCATTGTGATCCAAGCGTCTTCCATCTTATATTCACACTGTCAGTAAAACTGTTTGGCCTCTGATGTCTAAATTGAGTCGCTAATTTTAAGTCAATTAGGGAAGTCAACTGATGAAATAACAAAATAATAATTCAAGCATATTCTTCTAATCCTGAGGTAAGACTAATGGTGTAATAGGATCAGCAAAGTGATTGCAGGGAATTGTGAACTGGTATTACCATACTAGGATAAAGTCAACGCAAAGCTTGCTGGCATTTGTAAATTAGCCGTATTCACAACACTGAAGCTCATTAGACCCAAATGGCTGAATGACGAACTTGTTAGCTTTGACAAAAGTTCACTTAAGTTTATGATGCAAGTTGAGAATGATGTTTTGTATTTTGCCTATTATTGCTGATGATGAATTCAACCAATCCTAGATCTAGAAGTTCATTATAACTGACTTCAAACCCACAAATTGAGTCCGTATCTCTTACCCTCACACACTTTTTTAATCTTTTAACCATTTTTGTAGTTGGGCAAATCCATAGCTAAAGCGTTCAGAAGACGCACAAGGTCTACTACACAATCAATCAATTCACTGGGTACAATAAATGACACTACGATTACGAAGTGAGTTAATTTAGACTACTCAGAGTAATTGATCCTTTGACTTATTGTCATATTTTTGTATTTAAGATAGTTGGAGAAGCCTAAGTGTACACTAATATCGATCACTTAGGTGAAGTAGTTAGTCATTTTTATATAATCGGATATAAGGTTTGTCGAGAATCAATCGGTTTTCGAGTAGATTTCATTCAGAACCGACAGTCGTCTGCAGATCCATTGAAAAGGAAGTAGAATTTCATATCTGATTCTTTATGTTTTGGATCTATACAGCAGAGCCCATGCATACTTTCAGTTATTCTCCGAACCTGAATTGCTTTGTCAAAAAATCTGAATTGAACTGAATTAAGTGCAAAAGTAATTTATAGAAAGCTTTCAAGATGCAATTTGACATGCTCTGTAACTGCACACTCTATTCGCCATTTCATTTTAAACAGACCATATTTCATAAAAGTAAACCAACATGATTTAAGCTCACGAATACAATGGTTAATGGTGCAACAAATATATAAAACACCTGTTTACTTCTATCAACTTTCTATAGCGACCAGAAAATACGAAGACGTAAACGAAATTGATCTTACTCTCAGAAGGGAAATAATCGAGAAGACTTATAGCTCGAAAGGATGAATAAAGCTCCTAGAAACTGAATGCATAACCACTTTTTCTGTCTGAATACATACACATACCATCCAGTATGAATTTCGCCACTACGGAGAGTCATCAAATCGCTTGCAGAGAAGTAGCTGGCCAGTATATTCTCAGTTACACGAAGCACGGATGAGTATATCAGAGTCAGAATCGGGAAGGCACAACAGCTATCTGTTTTTCTATTACAAATTGTCCAGTAAATAAATTGCTACACATTTCAGATATTAAATCAAAGTTTATTCACAATTATCTTGACCTTTAAAAATGTATTTTATTTTCAGTATGGAGCCTAACCAAATCATCAGTCAGAAATCGAACGATGAAAATCAGTTGGATCGACTTTATCTGACAATCAGTCGATTGCAGTGTAGGATAGATCTCCTTGAAAAAAGAAACAAAAAACTACAGGAAACCGTATCGAAATATAATCCTGATGATGAACTTCTATGCAATGAATTTCGTTTGGAAAGAACCAACAGAAAAGTGTTTTTATCAGGTTTGTTTTGTTCTAATAATTGATCTTTCTTAGCACTATGCAATACTATCATAAGTTCGAGTTAATCACTTATTTCCTGGTTAATAGTTTCAAGATTCAAATCTGAACTCTTTCACTTCACACAAGTCGGCTAGATAGTATCACATGAAGAGTGCGTCTTGTTCAAAACAGAAAAGACGTTTTACAATTTCTCAAATGATGACTTTACAAAATCCCTATTTTGTGTTCTTTATCTCGGCTTCCCAGAATAACCATCCTCAAGACATGTTTAATCTTGACCATGATAGAATTTACTTAATGTAAAGCAGACAATAATACTGTGTCTCGTAAATTATTCTACTCTAGATTTCTACTTCATCGAAATGCGCACATTCTGTCCAAATGAAACGTTATGACTCACTTTCACTTTAATCATGGGAATTCTAATGAAATGTCTAGAATGCAGCAGTGATAACACCTGAATCAGGTGTACTACAAGCTTGACTTTTATCGTCATCCCAACCTTCTGGTATTTTCTACATTCTTCTCTAATACATTTCAGTATTTAGATGACGTACTACTATAAAAAGTGTGGTCGTTATTATTAAACAAATTCATTGTTAGATCACTTAAATGAGATATATATACATCTATTAAGACATCGTTTTGTCTAGGGAACACATGTCAGCTAATACATATTGATGATCACAGAAATGATCTGTCCAACAGAGTAATGCCCAGACATACTAACGTGATACAATGAATTCTGAATCAAGGTTAAGGCATAAAACAATTTATTAGTCTACCATAGCGAACATTTTAACTTACTTTATTCTATTTATATCATTATTTCTGACATTTATTTGCATATGCAGAAAGAAAGTGTAATTTTCTGCCTTTATTTATACATAAACTTACAGAAATGCATTGAAAAGCATCCTGATAAGTACATGTACAGTTAGAGTTCTTATTTGTGAACTTATTTTGTATGTGTGTATAAGTGAAGGCTTTTGTGCGTTTGCTGGTGAACTAATAAACATTCACAGCAGTACTATGTAGGAAAAATGTGATTACACGTGGCATAATATCTTTTCCAATAAACGTATCTGTATATGTATATACAGAACATTTCAAAAATCGATTTCGCACCTGTAGATGACACTATACTAACTAAAATAAAGTTTAATTTCATAGTATCCCTCTCATTCCCTTACATTTTGAATTGAACATAGAGCTTCAGGTCTCCGGGTTTCAGTGGTGGCTTTGTTGTTTTTTTCTATTGGGTGGTGTTGTTAGCCTCACTGACAGTCTTTTCTCTATTCCTGTCCTACTGTCGGCTAATAAATTAGTGTGTGTGTGTGCATGTGTCAGCCGAGAAAGAAACCACAACCTCTGGAATGGCTGGCTAGTGCCCATAGGAGTAGATTAAGATATGGTTTTATAGTTAAATTGGGCGTTTCATAAGTGAGTCGCATCCTGAGTCAAAATATAAAAAATTAAATGAGATCATAATTCGATCAGCTTACATTATAAATAACAACCATATGGACATTCATTTTAGCTTTAATCTTGACCGTATTACGTATAGGAAAGACATTCAGCCAGCATTTGTTAGTTAGTTAGTTAGTTAGTTAGTTAGTTAGTTAGTTAGTTAGTTAGTTAGTTAGTTAGTTGGTTAGTTAGTTAGTTGGTTAGTTAGTTAGTTAGTTAGTTAGTTAGTTAGTTAGTTAGTTAGTTAGTTAGTTAGTTAGTTAGTTAGTTAGTTAGTTAGTTAGTTAGTTAGTTAGTTAGTTAGTTAGTTAGTTAGTTAGTTAGTTAGTTAGTTAGTTAGTTAGTTAGTTAGTTAGTTAGTTAGTTAGTTAGTTAGTTAGTTAGTTAGTTAGTTAGTTAGTTAGTTAGTTAGTTAGGTAGTTAGTGTTTGATTAAGATTTGTTGATGAGGAAAGGATACGGTTTTGAGAGCATAAATTATCAAAAGAATTCAAGTTGAATTATGCACATAATGTATGACAACATCACATGGACACACCAATATATTTTGGAAAATGAAATGTAAATAATTAAGTAGGCTGGCTATTAAAACTCTCGTCTAGAATTTGTTTTCTATTGAACGAATGTTCTTATCTCAAATTCTATCACCATTATTTGCAGTATAAGCTTCACACAGAATTTTGAGAAATTATGAATGTTGTCTTATTCCACACACTCAAGAGATGAGTATTTGAATACGAATATCACTTGTAATATACAATCAGATTTGATAATGCCAATATAAAATACATGAATCCCTTCAAATACCACAAGTCTCGTTTGAAATTGATGTCAAGTGGAACTAAAGTTGAAGATTAAGTCTCATCGAAAGCATCATTTCACGAGAAGTCAACTCAGAAAATTCTTTTTACAACATTTTACTAATTCGAACTCATATTTATTGCTTAGGCGATAGATCAATCTAAACAAAAATGCTCATTTTTAAGCAGATACTCCAAAATAAATAAATAAATAAATTCTACATGCAAGCCTAGCTGCATGCTTAATGTAAGTGCAAATTTCATTTTTATTGATTGACATTCTCATTTATGGATATATCAGTAATACTTCTTTCTCAACGCCTGAATGACTTAGTATATTAATACACAACTAGAGCCATTTCGGTCACTTTACAGTCATCATTGTCGTTGTTTGAATCCGTTGAATGTACAAGAAGACAGAAAGTGATCTATAACCAGTTTTATTATACTCAGTTGTCCATTGATACAAACGTCCATATTCGTCCAATAAAGCTAATTCACCCCGTGATTAATACTTAATAATCCGAGTTATTTCTTTATCTTTCATGATACATTAACTAGATTTGTCGTCCAAATTTTGCAAAAATAGTCGTTATTTTGTGCCAGTCCTTGTGAACACTGAAGAAATCATTATTGATTCAGAAACGAAAAAATCACTGAAAATAGGATGCATTGGATTACACGATGATATGACTTGGAATGAGCTGGATGAAGTACTGCAAAAACTACTTCAGGTGGGTATATGCGACTGTTAGTGCCTTTATTATGACTCATACTTCTTTCTATTTTCTGTAATTCAGAACTTTCTATAACACCGTCAAGCATTAGGCACCGCGTATCTGTGTGAATTCAAGTAGTCATTACACTGTTTTTGTATTCGTCCATCGAAAGTTAGAAGAAGGTCATGCTAAGTCTATACGGCCAGTAATGCATCTTCACGAGAAAACGTCTAAATAACCACTGAACATGAAAGCATGGTCAAAAGTGAACAAGACTTTGAAGAAATAAATTGGAAAGGCAATAAAATTAGTGAAGCTTTTATTACTTCTCTTTGTCTACTGAAACCAGAATAGAGATGGAGAAAAATCTGTTCTGCTGTTATTATTTGAGCACAGTATGACACAAGGTGTTCTCCTCACTTTAGTGACTGTAGGTTTATGGAAGCAAGTGAAAGTTATTCTAGTCATTAGTGTGCACTAATACAAGTAAGTATTGGTTATAAATGTGTGCAATAAGAAATCAAAGTGTCAATAGCAGTGAGTACCGTCTCAAAATTGAGTGAGCTCTAGTGCCCTAACGAGGCCCTTGATTGAAAAATTCGCTCAGAAATGGTTGGATTTAGGAGAAATAAATGAAATCGCAGCATTACATATCATCATCGAGCAGAGTTTAAAATGACAGTTAATTATGTACTTCAACTTCACCAACTTTGAAAAGTCCTTCGACAGCATAGATTGTGAAGTAATTTGACAGCTTCTCCATGACCATGGAGTGCAGTGCCACAAACATTTATAAACTCCATCCAACAGCTATATGATGATTCCACATTCCATGTAATTCACAACAGAAAGCTCACCGAGGCATTGGATCTCATGGCATAAGAAATAGAAGGCTGCCTACCATCAATGATAATACTCATGATTTTGGTGGACTGCATCATTCAGCACACTGTGGGGAGTGATTAGATGGAATCATGTTGAACAGATAACGAGAGCCTGGAATATCTGGATTTAACAGGGGACCTATGTTTTGTGCCTAATAAACTCGAATATCCACAAACGAAAACCAACAAGATAGTAGAAGAGGCAAATAAGACAGTACTTCAAGTGAAGACTGAGAAGAAAGAGGTGATGAAGATAACCGATCACCACCACCAACAGCGAACATCAGTCACACTCATTGGGATAAGTCTAAGGGAAATTTCTCGTTTACTGCCACTTACTTGGGCGGCATAATTTCCACTGCATGGAGACGGCATGGACGAAGATGTCAAAGTCAGGATTTAGAAAGCAAAACATGCATCCATTTCTATGAAATCGATTTAAGTATCCATAAAACTCAGCACAGCGGACAACATCCCAATTTTCAATGCTGATGTATATCCAACGCATTTGTATTTCTCCAGGACTTAGAGTGTGTCACTTAAGAAATTTCTCCAATCCACTGCGCGCCTTCATCAACATCTGCCTTTGATGGCTTGATAGTGAAAATCAGGTTCTTAGCTGGAAAGGATAAACGACGAGGAACTCTGGAGGTCAGCAGACCAATTTAGAAGCTATTGCGCAACAAAAATGCAGGAGAAAATCGAGACAGGTTGGATGCGCAGTGAGTGACATCCCATGCCATACTGGCGTCAAGTGGAATCTGAATGAAAAACGTCTGGTTGGGTCTCAGAGTTGGTCATGATGAATATCAGGTGAAGAGGAAATAGGAGATTGTAGACAATTTTGAAGCCGGTTGAAAGTGATAGCAGAGGACAGAGTGCCTTGGAAACAGGCTTTTGAAGCTCAACAAATGAGTAACAAGACAATTATATCGGAGTTACAACCAGAATATAATATGAAAACACTTTTTGTCTCTGTCGAAAATAATCCAGTTTCTACAAACCCAATGCTTGAAAGTATTTTGGGTTATCTGAAATAATTAGTCTCATACTGTTCTGTTTTCAGTAATGTCTTCAATGCATTCAGTTTACTGTAAAATCTTCGGCTTTAATTTTAATCAGACACATACTCTGAAATTAGTTATCTAGCGAAGTGTTTAATTCTAGTTTCAACTAACTCAACGATAGAAAATGAAAATTTCCATACTAAAATATCTTTATTGTGAAACCTAAATATTGTTTATTAGAATAAAAGCAACGACAAATAAAGCGCACTGACACAACATGTATGCCTACTTATTTTCGAGAGGACAGTGAATTCTAATCTCTGAAAGACTTGGTGTTAGTATACTAAAGTTTATTTAGTTTATTACTCCAGTTATGCGAACTACATAGTTAGTTATCAGTGAAATTGGAAATAATCTACTGTGTTTTTGTTATCAGTAATTAAAACAAACCAGTACCTGCTGCCCCTGTTCCACCTTCTACTGTATAAACTAAACGTAGTAGTGGTATTGGAATCAAGAGAAATCCACACACAAATACACATACACACACACACAATAAAGAATACCTTCCAACTTTATGAATAAGAAAATTGAACTACTTTTTAGATATTGCATGAACGGTGCATCCATTATACAGTTAAATGTGTACATGTGTAGTTTTCAGTGGTTAGTGTTTATTCATTTTTATTTTTATTTAATAACCAAATATGCTGGAATATATATACATATCTATATAATTTGACTTACTAATTGTTTAATAAAATTGTGATATGAGGCTTATAAGCAACATTCATTCTAATTGTTTATATGCCAACAGTATTGGATGATGATGATGATGATAATAATAAACGCTTTTGGTTAGTCCTAATGGTATGCTTGCCGATCGCCGCTGACTAGAAAGATATAACTATGACAATTCAAACATGCATGGAGGCGTTTTCTTACCGGAAGGCTTCATTCAAAAAAGTCATCGATCATTGAATTGTAAAAAAGACCTATGTAAAAAAATGATAATTGAAGTGAACTGGGTGAATGTAGAACAGGAAATGATGCTAATCCTATCAAATATCAAAATGGTGGTCTAAGTTACCTATTGAATTACCACTTTTCTGTGTAGCATCTACATATCCTTGTGATTTATATATGGCCAAAATAAGTTCACTTTCAACAGTTTGAAAAAATTTGGGCAATGGGCATATGATATTGATCATAATAAAGGTTTTTTGTATTTCTCAAGGAATGAAAAACAAAACGATACTGTTGTTTTTACTAACGTCTCGCTATTTAATGCTGCTAATAGCTTTATCGAAGTATTATTAAATCGGAATTTACAAAATTTCATCATATATATAACAACTTAATCACCGTTCCTCAGTATGGGGTCACTTTTCGTTGTCGAATTGGCCAATTGGTAAAGATAACAAAACTAGGTGTAGATTGTTGGATTTGATGATGAGTGCATCAAATTATAAAAGCAGCGTGTGTTTACATAATGAAATCGCTTATCAGATTCTTAGGGGAAGGGATGTTGTCACCAGGTCAAATTCTGTTTTAGTCCACCATTCCTATTCAGAAAATTTGGATTCCACTTGATATTAAACGTTCTTTGTGATTTCTGAAATTTTTCTGGGTTATTTCAATATTGTCAGAATAAAATTTTTGGCCTGATTCGATAGCATGTATACCTATGGCTGATAATTTTTCGGGCTTTTCTAGTTCAACTGGATTTTTGTGGTCGAACAGATGCTCTACGATGTTCATCTATTCTGATTTTGATATCTCAAGGTGTTTGTCCGATGTATATTGCATCACACTCCAAGCATTTTATTTTATAGACACAATTAGATAGAGAATCTTTAGGAATTTGGTCTTTTATGTGGACAAGGTTGCTTTGAAATGTGTCTGATGTTTTGAAGAAAATTCTGATGTCGTACTTATTGATTACTCTTCTGACATCGTCTGTCGTCTCCGCTCTATGTGGAGTGACAACTGTTGAGGCCCATATTTTCGGAATACTTTTGCGACCATACTTAATGTGAGTGTTGATTTAGTTGATGTTCTTTGGGTAGTTATTTTGTTTGAGAGTCTCGGTAATGCTGGATATTTCATTCATTGACAGATGCAAAAGAAACTTTACTATCCTTCTAATTGTTGCTGGAAATTGGTTTTACCAGAGATCACATGCATTCTACACTATCTTCATCCGCCTGGTTGCTTAGTTTGTCTTATTTCTGTTTGGTCTTCTCCTATTGCCTTGTAGTATCATGTCACAATTGCTATTATTTATTTGTTATGCACTTATTGCATAACCTCATATACAACTTGTGAAAACAACTACTTACCGATGATATTAAACTAAGGTTGTAGAGTACCACGGATTGATAGCAATCAAACAAATATATCAGTTACTAGATTTTGACTTACTTACTGATGAACAGCTGCCCACTGACCAATGGTTAACACTTTTCTGAGACTGATTTGTGTTAGTGACCGGGTCTACTTCAATATTATGAAGAGTATTAAGTCTCTGTGTTTATCAACAATTAATCAATGTACATCAAATCTATTCCCGAGTAGTAGGGTTCTCAATGTGCCGTAACCTATTCTTCACTGTTTAACACTGTAGACTAGGATACAGTAACTGTCACGGTTATCTGATTCTCAGTTGTTTTACATATTCTTTTACCGAGCTGTTCAATTCTGGATGAAGCATTTCACTTACAGTTAGATGCAAATTCACTCTTGACCACCGCCACTAAAGTCATCCAGAATTTCAAGTATTCATATTATTTTTAACTCTGTTAAGCATTAGCCCTTCAAATTATTGTCTTTATTTCCATATAGTGTTACATCAGTTACTTGGATCCTGATGAACATCTGCAACTTAATTCACTGGAACTAGGGGCGTATCAGCTAAATTCAATTTACAAATATCCAGATATAAAGAAAACAGAGAGCATTGTGCGACGTTTCTCACGAATACTACCACTGCCATCGCCACAACCGTTATTTACAACAAATCAGAATCATTCCCAACTGCCTGTTGCAGCTACGCTGGAAACTAGCTGTCATATAAACAGACAAATTTATTCACAGTTCCCTGTTATGTGGTTGAATGAAATTACTAAAGGGTATGATTTGGAGCTATTCACCTTATCTATAGAAATAGATTTACAAGGTCGTACTATGAACTCAACATTGAAAAGAAAGAATAAAAAGGTACACCAAAATGTTACTGAGAAAATTGACATGCTGAACTATGGATGTTATACAAGTCTAGTACCATATAATACACTGAAGTCCTACTTATCTGTCATCGAAGCAAATAATTTCACAATAATCTGTGGACTGACTGGAACCGGGAAATCGCATCTGGTGAATAATCTGGCCAAAATTTTATCACATGAGTAAGTGAACTTCATGAATTGAGATTATTTTACATGAAGTTTTGTATTATTTTTCCATGAATTATACGGAAAATAATGGTGTCCAGGCGACCACCAAAACTTCTACTCGTACTGATAATAAAAAGGTAAAATCTAATGAAGTTATTTCAGTATTAACAGCACCAAGCCTTAGATGATCACCAGTTGTCGAAGTGTGTTATTTTTGACAGGATAAACCTAAGCATGATAGTTCATTCAGAGGCGAATCTGTCGAATGAAGAAATCCCCAGGTATTTGCAATATCGACTGAAGAACCTGTCGGTTAAACACTTAAATATAGCAGCTGAACAAAAGTCAACTCAACTTCCATCACCTGATAGTTGACTACACCATAGAGCCGAATACGATAATACAAGATCGTTGACAAGGATCTTAATTTGGAATGTAGTATTAAGACCTGCTTAACTGATCGGTCCCATTAGTCTATGGCTAATTCATAAATTGCTAGTCTATGTTTTACCAAAAATAAAAACATTATTTCAGTATATCGATAAACATCCGTCAACCAAAGTTGCTGGAAATGTAATACAATGCAGTTTCAACCAGGGTTTTTGTTCAATAATACCGTGGTATATGATTCATTGATAATATTATTATTATTTTCAAATTGTTTTTATCTCGCCTAACTAGTTTAAATCTTCATACTATCATGGCTAACCAGAAAAATCTTTGTCCTTCTGAAAAATGTACCACAAAAACACATTTTTTGTCAAAAATATAAAAAATGAATCACCCTGATTTTAGCTTCAAAGTGAATATTAACTTTTAAGACAACCATATTAAGTAACGTTTACAGCTTTTACTTAAAAAGTAGCACTAGTAATAAGTAACATTTTGTCATCAGTTTTATGATAACTGTGATGAACATTGTGAAATTTCAGTTGAAATAGCCATTCAGCGTCATTTTAGAACATATATGCTAGTTGCAATTTAGTTAGTCGTAGATTTTCAATGACCGTACTTTAAAATATCTTAACTTGAAGATTTGAAAGTATATTTAAATGTACATTTGTGTAGATTATAATGTCACAGACTAAATAAAAATGTCTACATCAGAAACTAAACAATAAAGAAATCGAAAATAAAGCAATTAGCAATTACAACAGAAGTAATTTTGATTACAAATCACATCTATATCAGTGTGTCAGATTGTTGATAACACACAAAGAATCCTATCAGTATATATTGGGACGAAGTTTTCAATTAACTGACTTTATTTAACAGTCTCTTTCATATTTAATAATGAGACTATCTGGGATCGACAGACTACGAACGATCTGATGGATGAACATTAAAGGTGAAATGGAAATCTTGGTTGCCGCAGAATTCGAACTAATCGATTGTAAACTACTGTGGTCCCACCCTGTATATTTTACTGGGCCAGTTAATTGGTCTCATTCCGAATAAATCTTTATACATTTTTAACTAACAATAAGATTTACTCTTTTATCTAAGCATAAGTTCATAGTTCAGTTTACATTATCGAAATACATGCTCACTTTTAATTCTCTCTTGGTTATTGGTAATTCCCTTTCAAACTTCTTCACTGAAAGTGAGTAGCTGGAAACTTCGTTTATTGTGCAGGCTTGTCCTTATTATTTCTTCCACCGTAGTTTTCTGTTTTCAACCAAAAAAATATCTGAATACGCCTAATTATTTCTACTCCACACAGGGTGCAAGCAAGACTTACTAAGTAAATTAATCATTTCTATATCTGTGATGGAATAACAATCAGCACCTTTAATCTCAACACGAAATCTATGTGCACGGAATCATTCTTATGGCCGTAACGAGTTGACAAACTATCATCAACAAAAAGCTTTTTGTCCTCCCACTGTTAATTGTCGGTTAAGACAATGACAGGAGCTTAGACCAGAAGAATTTCAGTTCATGAAGTTTTATTTTGGTTTAAACAACACTTTCTGCGTCCAAAACTTATTTAAGTAGAGAGAAAGTATGATTATCAAAAAAAGGGAATTAATAAGATAGATCCCAAATGAGCAAAAATGTGGGATAGCATATAACTCAGAAAAAAATTACATGCCTACTGAGTAGAATGGCTTGAACTTGCAAAACACGAAATGATTAAACCGTACTCAATAATTTTAGTCATCATCACAACTTTCTTTGTCATCTGATCCACCTCGTTCATTTACTCGATACTTTAAATATAATAGCTCACTTTGTGTAAGAAAGAACTATCATCTTTTGTAAAATAAGAATTCGAAAAACGATTCTACTCGCTGAAGATAAACATTCCCGTTGTTTTTGAAAACATTAATATCTATCACCTCACTGTAAGCATCTCAACACAACTCGAATGGACGAAATGTTGAAAAAGTGTGGTGGGTTTAAAAATATAAATATTAGGCCTTCCTTCTTATGTATATGGTGAAGTAAATGTTATGACCTGTGGATAAGCATAAAAGTGTTAAGTCAAGCTATTTCTGCATGTTTATAAAAGTGCATTACATAATTCATGAACTACATCACAGTGCTAAGACATCTGCGACCCTTGACATCACCAGTGTCTTGGAAGTAATGCTTTATCTATCCTTTTGTTTTAGACTATTTAAATACTCACCGATTTCTGTTGTGTTAATCCCTTTCTAGTTCGTGTTATTCAAAGGCAATATACAACTTCCGGTTTACAAATAACAAAAGTCCAACTGTAAAAGAAATGAAAAAGATACTCAGAAAACAGTTATCATCCTTTTCGAAATGTGGTTTCCCCAAAGTGATAAACTTATTTGATATGCATCTCTTCCAAGGATCTGTTATGGATATTTTTAATGTTTTTAATACCTCATCAAAACGGTAAGCCATGTTACATATATTTGTGTAAGATAGACTGAAGAAACTCACCAATCAGTGTCTTTATCAGGTTAATTAACTTCATTTTCATGTAACTTAGGATGAAGGGATAATAGGAGCACGTTTTGTGCATATCGAGATACCAATCTTCGTGAGACCTGTGTAAAGACTCAAGGAATCATTAGTGCCGGACTTTATATAGTTATGCATAAATTTAGATTATCGGTCATCATAATATCCGAGGTAGGTCACTCCAGAACCATACATACAACACGACGAAAACTTCAACATTGACAATTGAATGTTGCGATGATACATGTATGAAAAATAAACCACATATAAAAAGGAAATACTTTACGTCCATGATTCAGAAGGAGATTAGTTATTTCTGTCAGTATTACTTAGTCACGATTGTATTCCTCAAGTGTCAAACAGTCAAATTTCGCTGTTATGATTGGTCTTTAGGAGAAACAGATCAAAGCAACAACAAATTTCTTCGTCTTCTCAGTTTAACCTCCATGCAATCTAAGACAGCATATGCTTTCACTTGAGCGTTAGCCTATCAACTAGGTATAGCGTCATGTTCCAAGTTAAAGATGATATCTAGGATGGGTTGTATATGTGTAGACTAACCATGATATTTCATGTTCCTTCGCAGTAAATGTTACTCACAATCTCGTAAACGAAAAATCTGCTTCTCTCTGAATGAGGTTTAGGTAAATAGCCATTGAACTTTCTCTGTAGTGATTGAATTGGAGTTCATGACTCAGTTGTCGTTCTAAATATGATACTTGTAGCGCGACAAAGAATGCGGGATATTTTCACCAGTACTTTGCAAATAAAATTTTCTAAGTGATACTTCCTCTCTGCATTTCTAATGTTACAACAGCAAATAGATAGAGAATGTATAAATAAACTTACCTGCTAAATCAAACAGCTATTCCCTAATTGCTACAAATTAATTTGGTTTATACACTGACTATCAGTCTCTTAAAAAAGGCGATTTTCCACGTGAATTCTAAGTCTATTAATTTAGCACGTAGAAAGACAAACAACTGACAACACAATGGCTGAAATGACTGGGAAATATTCACTTATTTTGAAATTTCAGCTGGAAATGTAATGTTGTGATTTTGAGGATTTAATTTCATCAATGTACACCCATAACGGCATCATTGTTCACACCAAGCACGCTTAGGTTATGAGTCAAGCATGTTACCATTCAGTCACTGGGTTATAATTCAATGACCCACGAATTCTGAATACTTGTAGTTAGCAGTATAACGCTACCACCAATCTGTGATCGATCAGTATCTACAAACACAAACACACACACATACACTACTTAGTGGAGTCTGTCATTCATGGACCGTTGAATTTCTACCCACTTACTGATTGGTAAAGTGCATACCTTGTAGTCTAAACATGATGGAGTAATTCCCAAGTGACGATGAGGATGGACACTGGGAAAGAGTCTGAAGTTAGTGACAAACATTTGTCGAATTCACGTCAGTCAGTGAAAGACCATCCTTAAAAATGTTTAAACGTTCATTATTCTAACTTGAAATGTGTATTTGCAGAGTTAGTGAATCACTTACTTCGTTGAAATGAACATTAATGTTACTTTATAACTGATTAACTTTGCCAAACAAATACACAACCACTGTACAACTTTTCAATACGTATTTTCACTCCATTTAATTTACGGCTCTGATTCACTGCATAAGTTGAGAAATTACATATATATAAATATATGTATATATGAAAATGTCAGTTTACACTTGATTATCTGACATTTAATTTTCATTCAGGCTTGCTGTGGAATGCCAGTAATAATCAGAAAACTGCACAAACCTTCATAAGAATCATATAAAGCTGCAGTATTTTTTTTTAATTTCCCGTCAAGTGGTAGACATCACAGCTCAGTCATTCTTTATCTTTAGTTACCTAAATCATGCATGGTGTATCAGTGAAAAGTTGGTTTTTAAGAAGTAAAAGAGTATCAGACTATCTAGACATATTTGAGTATACAGTTAGGAAACAAAGTTAAAAAACGCTGTCATCTGCAGAGATTTAAGCAACCTATTGACAGTGTGTAACAGACTTATACCTTATAAGCACACATAATGTCGATCTCTACTCTTCTGTATTCAAAATGAATACTTCACTTTCCACTCACTCTCTAGGAACCATCTTTAATCATCTAGCTGCATGACATCTGCATAGCATGAGTATTGTTCAGTATGTTAGTATGCCAGGTGTCTGTCAGATTTAAGTGCATTCCAATAATTGTACCCCACAGGGTCTAGTTGACATAAAATTCCACTAAGTTTTATTCAATATGTGGGGGTGGGGGAAGCAAATGAACATTTCACGGGTGTAGAACCAAGAATTCTACTAGGTATACAAATTTCATCAAATCTTTTTGTTTCCCTTTTCAACTGGTTTGATTATCTAGATGATTTCTATGTTATAATGAATACACTCCTTAAAGCTTGAGTGGCCAGTCAAACCAAAGAAATGTTCACCAATTTCGACCAAAACTATCACCTCAAACAGACATTTCTCAGTAGAAACATGAGAATAAGAACAAATCTTTGAGTTTTGGATTTCGGATATTCTGTCTGTTGTCTCTCCAAAGGTGTGTACAACTTTTAATACTTATCACATGACATCATAAAAAGGTGTTTCATGCACTGATGGAGATTCGTAGTGTAATAGTGAATACAAAACTGTTTGATATGAATGAAGTTCAATTAATATGTCACATTAAGATTTCACGAGTGTTTATTAATCTTGTCATAGAAAAATTACTCATAACAAGGTTCTTTAGGGCAGTGGTTTGTCTAAGGTTAATTTTTTGACAGCGTAACATTATGAATATTCAACTTGAAATTAAACATTTTGTTTTTTACAATTCAGTCCAAAGATTATAGGTACAAGTGAAAGGGCGGACAAAGATTTTGAGAACACTTGCCATGACAATCATGTAAAGTAAGTACGCTTAATTCCTAAGTTAATGCAACTGTTTGTTGATGGAGTTGTTTATTTGAATTGTTTAATAAAGTCCAGTTTGTTTTGCAAGTGTACATGTTATTCCAATAGATGGAATCTTAAATGTCACACAAAATTTGGTAATTTAATCTACACTAACTGCTGTTTAATGAGGAATTTAAGCTGGTGAAGTCAGTCAGTTGATTTCTGATCGTTCACTTTATCATCATAGCTAGCCATCGTGTAAACACCTTTATCTGAAATCCCAATGTGTTTCAATCTGCAAACTGAATGAGTAGCACCAATGACAAATGAACTAAATATATCCAGCAGAGTAAATAATGACATACTATTTCTGCTCAAGTGGTGACTAAGGTCTACAGAGAATTTTGTCGCTGATTACACTTATTTACTACAGTAAAATATCCAGAGCAGTGTGTGCTATGGTTAGTTGGAAATGGCTAATGAAATACGGAGTATTTCTACACTAATTGAACATACAAGATTAAAAATTAACTTGGATTCTCACTTAAATGAGTGTTTGCGTAGTTACACCTACATCACTGTGCTTTCAGCGTCTTCAGGTAATACCAAGCGGACCTGTAAAATGAGTGGATCTCAATCACTGGACCACCTTCCTCCTGCTATTAAGCTCAGGAGGCATATGTGTTGTTATGTGGAACACGCAGTTCACCTGATGGGAAACCGTGTGATTAATCTGAAGGGTAATCATGTTAGTCTAGTCAATGTCCATATGTCCTAATCTCAGTCCCTTTCTATGTGAAAACAATTTAGAGCACGGATCATAACACTTTCCTCTATGATCGCACAATATTTTAGTAAATCGCTAATTATTGTGAAAACAGAATTTTTATATGAATCACTAGATAAAATGTTAAGTCTAAAAGGAAAGTGACTGCTGAAAAGAATCTGAAATTTTAGTTGGTTAGTTTCAAGGCATTCATGACATTCTCAGCTATCACTCTTCACAATACAGTGAAAAGAGATTGACACATTTCTGTTACGTATCTTGAAACGTTCTCAGGATTTTCGGAAACTGACGCTTCAATCTCCAATTTTTATCGACTCATAGTAAACTAACTAATCGCTTTACCGAGAAATCAGATTTTCTTACGTTCATATTATTTCGTTTGACTTAAAGACAATGCATTTCATTTATTGATAATAATGGGTAGCATTTTTAGCAACACATTTTGTGAAAACTAACTGACATTTCGACTTGTCTTTTACCTCTTTACAAATAATAGGATCATACACCACCTGCCTGACATAAAAAGTACACAAGAATATTTAGAAAGAGTATTATACAGAAATCTTGCTCAAAGTCGAATGTTTTGTTCACGTGGACCTACTAACGAAGATGTTAATGCCAGTGCAAATAAAGATCGGAAGTGTTATCAATTGATTTTCTGGTTAACTGAGTTTTGGAGGAAATTAAATGAAATCCTGTGTTCTATAGCTAACAGAAAACACTGTGCCATTTTTGGCGTGCAGTCCACACTGAAATGCCCCATGGATATTAATGATTCATTGCATTGGTTTCTTGACCTATGGAACAACATGTTGGTTCCAGTTTTATTTGAAAATATCAGATATGTAACGAAAGAGAAGTCAAACAATGCCTACAACATGTTATTGACTGATTTTATTGCATGGACAAGTACTACATGGCCATGGGATAGAAGCAAAATATACTTCCCTACTTCTTTGAAAAGCCCGAAAATATGTCTAACTCAGAATCCATCGAGTACTCAGAACTTCCAATCTATTCAGTCTCTCTCTAGTTCCCTGGATGCGGAAGTATGCAAAAATCGAACAAGCATGGATTCAGGGATTATTCTGGATGGGATGTACCCAACAAATGCCTGTAGCAGTAATGATGTGGAACAAATTCCATCAAATACAAACGATTACATACATGTGATCAGAACGCTATGCAGATTAGAATTAGAGTAGTTCATTCAATATAACGATTTTGGACACTCAAAAATATTACCTTTTCTTTATGACCGTTCTTTTGTAAGTGTGACAATGAAATTTATTGCTTAAAACAACATATTGTGAATACCAATGTATAATACGAGGCGACAAGTTTCTTTTTTTACAGAAATAAACCTTCAAGAATACCGAAAGTGCTCACTTCAGTCATTTTAACAAATTGATATGCCAGGAAAATACATGTTTACTTCGCATTGTGTGACTAATTTCGAAATGAGTTGAAGAATAAGGGCAAACTGAGGGGTAACTAATAAACTTCTTATTCTAGCTAACGATTTCTAGACACTGTATTCCGTCACCTATACAATAGCACCGCCTAAAGAGATTACAGTAAAACAGTTATCAGTTACCTGTCAAATGTCACTGTCATAACATAAAGAATATTCGAAGAATGTGTAACATTGAAGACGGTCTTCTCAAGGTGCCTACGTAAATTACGAAACTCTTCAAGGGGAATCGAACTAACATGACTAGTAAGCAATTAAAACTACGTAACAATGTGGAAATTTTGTAGACATAACATGACAAAATTTATGCTGGACTAAACGAATAAAGAATGACAAATTAGGTGATACCAGAAGTTGTTTAAAATGAAAATAATAAAGCTAACAGAGCTAACAAGGCTGATGAAACATGGATATACAGATTAAATAAACAAAAAGAAGAGCAAATAGGCTCAATGTAAAATGAAGACAATAATAGGTTAACCATGAACTAAGACTTCTCCATTTCAACAGCAAAGCAGCCTCAGCAATACACATGAAACAGATAGGTGATGATTTTGGCAGGTTATCATTCACCTTATAGATGACTTATAGATGCACTTCATCGATTTCTCAGCTGAGAAAAACCTGTCAAGAGCTAGTGATCAGGAAATTTAAAAAAAATAGCATACTTCACAATTTCAAAAGTTCTCCAGTCACCATGATAGTTCGAAACACGAAATTAGTATGTAACACGTTTGAACATTTGTAAGATGGTTTTTGGTATATTTCTATGACTACGGCAGAAAACTTAATCGGCTATACTGCAAATATTACAAAAGTAATCATGTATAATATCATGGTGACTTATAAAATTTACGAAACCAATAGAGTTTAGTAATGAGGAAGTCACACTCAAGTGCTGGGGTTGTAATGATGAATACGTTTGAACTCAGATGATGCTCAGATTTGAAAGTCTGAATAATGACCAGGCCAATGCATCACAACATCAAGTGACGAAACTCAAAAGACCCCTGTAAGTTATTTTCTTTGGTAGAAGGTTACCTGAAATTAAGTGGTGCCTGTCTCGCCTTTATGTAAAGTCAGGCGAAAGAGTTAAATTTGTTCTCAAGTCGAAAACTGGGATGAATTAGAAAGTAGTCTGTCACTGATCTCTTGACAGTCACTTAAGTATCTTTTAAAAATTGATGTTCTCATGTCTATTTTCCATGTATGGCATTGGAGGAAATGGTTGGGTATGCATTGAGGAGGCCGTCGAATGACATCACGCGCAGTGCAGGCCATCAGTCGAGTGGAATCCGAATGGTGAGTGACGAGTGGGTTGTCCTGAAGTGGCATGGAGGAGGTCATGTGAGGAGTTGAGAGCATACTGGCAGTCGTGGACCCAGCTGAATATAGAAGAAATTGAGGATGTGTTGTTGAAGCCATATGTTCCACTCGGAACTCAAGGGAATAATAACTGATATCAGTCCGTGATCAACTCGTAAAACATAACTAATCCTTACAAATCAAACTATAGAAAATATTAAATAATGATAAATTTTGATAACTTTTATCTTAGAAAATACTGAAAATAGACCAGCAAATTATGAGTAAATTTATATTAGAAATCATTCTCTTCTGGCTGAATAGTGTTCTTCAAATAAGTTTGCTTGCCTGTAGCTGTTTGATCACCTGTACGGTCTTTCATCATACTATTACGCTCATAACCACATTCATTACTGTTGATAAAGTGTTGATTTTCTTCATCTCCCAAATTTGTAACTGGACTATTCTCCTATTGGTGTAAATCAATAAAAATTAGTATCACTAATTATTATTATTATTACTATTGTTGTTATTAATGTTCATTAACTAAGACACAAATCATGTTTTCAAAAATAATTTAACACCATATCTGTTCTCGGGAATTACTCATGATTAAGTAAAGTGAGGATACTACACTTCGACTAAAACAGTTTGCGCACAATCTATGCTTTCTTATATGACTGAAAAAATTCATTAGATGAAATAAAACTAACAACATTTTTCCCAATAATACAGAAAATGACAAGTATTGATCACTCGTCCGTATATTGTAACACTTATAATTATCACTAAGAATACAAAGGGATATGATAAACTCACCATTAATATGTGAATACCCTTTTTAGTTGAGTTAGCTGGCTACTTTAAAACAAACCCAAATGTATTTCACTCCACTTCAAATCAACAGTTAAAAAATAGACAGCAAAAATTAACCATGATCTTAAATTTATGGAGCTGCCATTCCCCATGGTCCACTAGTGTTGCAAATTCGTACTCAGCAAGTTATCTGACAGATGTGTTGTTAGACAGAAGAGAACTGGTCTGAGATAGAAGGGCAACAAACAAGGTAACTAGTATTTGGAAAATGTGAACAGTTCAGCAATTTATCAAACCAGATTGATTGATCAGTCAGCATACTTCTAATGCTGATTGGTTTCGTCAATGAACCGGAGGTCTGTGAAGCGGCTTAACATTGGTTTTAAAGAGGTCTCTAGTAAACTGGACGATTGCTTGCTGTATGTTCAGTGAGATCAGTCCATATATATATATATATATATATATTTACAGAAATATTGGGAGTGGTTAAACTTACGTCTGTGATTAAGTGTGATTATGAAAGTTATTTGATCGTTTCTGCTCGTTTCGGTAGAAGCTAATTTCATGAAACAGGTTTCAGAGACATCTTTTGTATGAAACATGGACTGAGTGATATATGATTAGCAACTGTTATTTGCCAATGAATAATAACATATGACTTACTTGTTGGGAATAGTTCACTTCAATTGCACTAACTGTAAAGAAGTATGAAAGGAGGTAGAAGAAACTGACTCATTTAGTGAGTGCTCAGTAGCTGAACATACTTCTTTTAATATTAATAATAATTTGCTTTATTCCAGAAACAGTACTAGTGGTACAGTGTGGAATTTTCAGCACATATCTACAATATTTGCATCTAATTTTACAAACATTTAAAAGGAGTATTTTTAAAAGATAAATCTAAAGACACCAACACCAAAAAGCAGGAAAAACACAAAAATAATTATAAATGCGAAAAAATACCAAGAAGTAGAAAGGAAAATAAATAGCATATAATAATAACTCAGTATTGGGTAGTGGAAGCTGTGATATGATTATGCATGGTGACAGTAACGCTATAGTCATACAAGAATCTATGAAATGATATTTAGGAATGTCTATCGCCAAGATGGTCAGTTAATTTGGTTGAAACAACTCTAAACAATCATAAAATAACATTTCAGGGTTGTTGGTTTGTTTTTTATTGTTAGGTCTAATGCAGTGTTTGTAGTGGTAGTGTGAGTAATCCTGAATAATACAAAATTTTTAAGGTGGTGACAATGGCGTTCACAACCAATGATTGTCAGTTTAATATTGCCGAAAAGTATGGAAAACAAGAAAAAGCAACTACAAAACTAATAATTACATGATGGTTAATGACAGGACAATTTTGTAATACTCATAGTGCTAATAGAGTCGGAACCAATGGATACACAATAGAAGGAATATAGTAAAGTACAAAAAAGGAAGCCAATGTTAATAATTTAGGTAGCTAAGTATGTTTGAGAAGGAGTTCACTATAGAATACAAAATAAGAGAGAAATAAAAGAGCCTAAAATTATGTTGTTAATAACAAAGCAAGTCATAGGTTTCACGCTTAACATTGTCTCTGTCGCTTAGAACACGGACCAAGTATGGTATCGCTGAGTTCCTGTACTTGGTTGTACGAGCATAGATTATTTTATACTGATTTCTGGTTTTACTTGATGAGATACAAGGCGAGAGTTGGGAATAGAGGGGGTGTTGGGGGTCGGAGAGTATGGTTTTTGACCACTTTTCGCATGTATTCAGATGCCTATCAACTAATGTAGTGACGAGCTGACTGAGTTTTACACCACTAGTCCTACTGACTACCTTCAACATCCTTCTCAGGATGGTACAGTCCTTTTTCAGTAGACCAGGGAAGACTAACGGGGAGCAGTAAAGTAGAATAGGTAAGATACAAGAGTTGACAAATTGTGAAAGTAGAGGTTGGGTGATTCCAGATTGTCTAAGTTTCTTAATGTAGTAGGTAAGACAGAACACTTTCTTAGAAATTGTTAGGATATGAGGTGTCCAAGTAAGGTCGGAAGACAGAACTAGACCGAGGTATTTTGCATTAGACTTAGTTTCAATTTTAGTCCCCTCAATGCAACAGGCTTCATGAGAACTTACTAGTGTTTGTAGATCTCGCTTATGCCTAAGGGAGAAGTCAATAGTCTGGCATTTTGAGAGATTCAGTATGAGACCATTTAGTTTGGACCACTCACTGATGTCCGACAGGAAGCTATTTAATTTGAAACAGTCTGACTGAGACTTAATGGGAAACGATACAGACAGGTCATCTGCATATTTGACGAAGTTGATTTCATCTGAGAGAGGTAAATCATGTAAGAAGAAGGAAAAGAGAAACTGAGAAAGAACATCCCCCTGAGGAACTCCAGCTTCAGTAAGCAAAGGAGAGGAAGATACACCGTTATATACCGTGTACTGCATCCCATTAGAGAAGTAAGAGTGTAGCCAGTTGATAGCCCAGGGCTCAGTTTGTGTAAGGCTAAGCTTGTTTAACAATAGGCCTCTAGGTACAGAGTCGAAAGCAGATGTATAGTCAAGGAACGTACAACGGACAAACGTGGCCCCTTTGTCTAAGGAGGATACAATGTTGTGATGAAACACAGCAGCAGCGTCCAAAGTACTTCTACCCTGTTTGTAAGCAAACTGCTTTGGATCGTTTGAGAAACTTAGGGAGGGAACAAGTTTAAGTAACAATAATTTCTCCATTAGTTTCAAAAAAGGAGAGGTAATAGCGATAGGTCTAAACTTAGCATTATTACCAGAGCCTGACTTAGGTACAGGGATGATTTTAATATCTTTCCACAGAGAAGG